CTTTCTATCACTAATGTCTTGTCCACGCTCCTTGATAAGAAATGTCTAGGAACTTGCGAGACTCACATAATTCCCTCGACTGAAGGAAGGGTCATATGAAATAAAACGGGTTTGCTTGCTTGCTTGTCTACACATGTCAGGTCACGTGTACATATCTATTGGGTTAGTTTAGAGCAGTATGTGTTCTGTCTTCATCCAATCAAATGTTCTCACTAAAGGGCTCTCAGTCAATCAGATGTATTTCCTGTTGTTCTCTCGTCTAATAAGGTTTTTGTGCGCTTGGCTTTCAGCGACTCAGATATTTTCTCTATCAGGATATCGTACAGTCAGCTTTTTAGCCCTTGGGTTTTTCGTAACTGGACAGCTGGGCCTATTCAGCTGTCAACCAAGCCTTTCTCTAGGACCAAAATTTCCATGTATAAGCTGCTTTCTGTGTCTGAGTTTCATCTAATGAATTTTCTCAGGCGGCAGTCTCAGCGAATCACATATTTTTTAGGCATGACTTCGGTCTAATCAGTATTTTCTTGTTTGAAAATGGGCTAGGCAGATAAGCTCGCTTCTCATGTCTCATCGGTGATTTTTGTTTCTTGGTTAAGGTTGAGTAACTGCTATCCATTTCAAAATAAAAGAAGGGTGATTGCTTTCTGAATAACTTCTCAATGGTAAGAGCTATCGGTCTGCGATTTTCACCATTAGAAAGAGAAACGTATTTTGCATCTTCCTATATGATAATTAAAAAAGTCAACTGATTAGTCTCATGAGCAACCAATGATATTCAAAGAAGAAACGAAAGTGCTATAAAAGTTTGATGAAATTTTAACTCTAAGGTGTTCATTAGATGCCCCAACTCTAGATCTACAACTCTACATAAGTCGGAAATGTTTTTTTTTGTGTTTGCAAACTATACGCTCAACATTGATCGTCAAAAATGCTCGAAAAACTCTTTGCGACTGTTTTTTCCAATAGTTCCAATTTTATATGTATCAATTAATAGTTCAATTTTCGAGCATTTTGGATTGAATGAATCTGTTCATATTGTAAAGGAATCATCATTTGCCATGTAAAACCAGTGCTAACCATATTGCATCACATATTGAATATCATCGTTGCAAACTATAATGACACAACATAGTTCTAGATGTTGAATATTTCCTAAGTATGTCTGATTGAATTAGAGATAGGACTGTTTTAATATTGAGGTCACACAAAATTTTCTTTCCTGTCTAGTCTTCACCGGCAGCGTATCACCTAGGAGATGTTGTCTTTTCAGTACGGTTAAAAGCACGCGCCACGTATTGATAGGAGATAGTTTTTTTCCTTCCCACTGAACTAGACGTATAAACCGATACTTCTGCTGCATAATTCAACGAAAACAAGAGCCACATATTGTATTAGTCAATTCAGATGAAGTTTATATATCGATAAAATGTCCACAAATCATGAGTACTTACGTAACGTGAAACAGAGAGTGTTTAATGTAATCAATGGACAGGGACGCATAAGACCCTGATTTGGCCTCATGGACTTTTTTCACTATATCCAGCACAATCACATATAGGATGAAAGAGCTTCAACTAGCGAGTACTTTAATACCAGATTTCGGGTACGTTTCAAATATATTTGACGACTTTCTATCTTAAGATTTGGAATGATCTTACTATCAATACATACTAATGACATCATAGTCTTTTAGATTAGTTTCCATATATAAATTCAAGAAAGTCAGCTTCAATTATAGCTTATCGGATAGCTCTTTTCACGGGCTACAAAACTCTATAGTATTTATAATTACTAAAGATGCGTCAATAAAAATAGTCCAAGACCACAAAGTAAACACTATGCCCATTTTTACATATAGTGTAACATATTTGAGTAATCATTTTGCTAAGAGTTCGTATAAGCCAGCTTCAATTATAGCTTATTGGATAGCTCTTGCCACGGGCTACAAAATCCTATATCTTTCAAAATTATTAAAATTAGGTCAATAATAAGGTCCAAGACTACAGGGAAAACACTATGTCTATTTTACATATAGTATTACATGTTTGATTGGCCATTCCTTCAAAAACTTTGTTTAAGTCAACTCCTGTTATAACTTGTCAGATTGCCTTTTCTGTCAGCTACAATATCCTAGTATTTGTAGAATCAGAGAAATGGAAACACCATAATCAAATAGATACATATTGTTTTTGTACATCTGTAAGAAGGGTGATACCCAAGGGGAAACAGCGAACTTCAAGACTTCGAGACTTTAAGAGATTTCAAAAGGCTTCAAGAGACTTCAACAATAGGGACTTCAAAATTTTCAAGAGATTTCAGAAGACTTCAAAAGACTTCGAAAGATTTCATGAGACTTCAGGAGACTGTAAGAGTGTTTAAGAGACCTCTGAGACTTTAGGAGACTGCTGGACTGCACGAGACTTCACGAGACTTCATGGGCTTCACTAGAGTTGATGGACTTCGCAACCAAAGTCTCAGTTGTTTTTCCCTTGGTGCAAATAAATAACAAACCTAAATTCATACTTAAGTAAACGGCTTGTTGGTTATTGACTGACAAAGCTAGCCGTTTGTCAGCTGATAGACTCTCATGAGTGATAGAAACAAACAAAAAGAATAAAAATTCTTCAGAATATTGATATTCAATTAATGGAACACTGCTTATACCAATAAACAACTTCATTAAAAAGCATTCAGTTATTAACAATGATGTTTTTTAAGTTCAAACGAACTCGACTTTTCTAGCAGATTGACAAACAATCAAAGTTCACATTTCTGCTAAAATAAGATCATTGACAGCAAGACAGTTTCATTGGTTTTCTCATTAATTTTTCGTACACTAAATGTGTGTCAAAAATTTCAAAAGATTTCAATAGACTTCAAGACTTCATAGGACTTCACAACCGAAGTGTCAGTTGTTTCTCCCTTGGCTCCTGCTTAACAAATTCCAATGGACAGCGTGTGAATGTGGCAATATTTGAACGAATGTTTTTAGAAAAATCGTATAGCTTTTTTTAACAGAAAGAAGTGAGGTCTCAATAACCCTAATGAGCACTACAGCGATAGAGCCAATAGTCTTCACACAATTATCTAACATAGTTAAAATGGGTCTATGACTGTTGCTCGCTAGGACACTTGCTCGCTAGGACATCTGCTCGCTAGGACAGTTGGTCACTCGAACAGCTGCTTGCTGTACAGACTTTTGCAAGGCATTCAAATAAGATAACGAAACAGCGATGACACATTACTTTCATATCTTATATGATAGTGGTCATCACCATAAACTAATCAATTTAGTTGTTACAACATGAGCGTGGGCATGAGCTTAGATGGACATGTACCGAAACTGAAGATTCACCAGCAAAGGTGAGTATTTCTATTTCAGGAACTCCCGAGACTATGAGACTTTGATTGCAAGTAGCTAAGGTTGCTCTCATTTAGCTACAGTTACGAGCGGACAGACCGATAACTAACGAAATTGGTCAAATCTCGCTTGAAAACTTGTAGAAATTAAAATTTGACAGAGACTAAGCAAAAAGTGTACTTTTTCTTTCGTAATCGGTCTCTCCGATTGTGCGCCTAGCTGCCCGTGTCAAATACGCACGGTCATTAACTACTCGGTACAGAGAAATACTGGGGTATACGGAAGAAAAAATAGTCCTTTATGATCATCATAGACGGGATCCGTATACGACCTCCGTAGCTCTCGATATATGATCACTTTTCCGCATATGGCCACGGTAGTAGACAATCGTCATATTGGACCATGTACACCGCCAAAATACGGTCGTATACAGAGAAATACGCAACGTATATGGTTGTCTGAAAGCTTATGCTATCTCTGCATTCGTTGACACGAATAGATGAAAGGAAGCTAAACTGCTTGCAATTAAAGTCTCGTAGTCTCGGGGAGTTCTTGAAAAAGAAATACTCATCTTTGCTGGTGAATCTTCAGTTTCGGTACATGTCCATCTAAGCTCATGCCCATGCCCATGTTGTAATAACTAAATTGATTAGTTTATGGTGATAACCACTACCATATAAGATATGAAGGTAATGTGTCATCGCTGTTTCGTTATCTTATTCGAATTTCTTGCAAAAGTCTGTACAGCAACCAACTGTCCGAGTGACCAACTGTCCTAGCGAGCAAATGTCGTAGCGAGCAAGTGTCCTAGTGAGCAAGTGTCCGAGCGAACAAATGTCCGCGCGAGCAACTGTCCGTTTCCCGTTAAAATAATCTAGATGTCGATGATAATATCAATCTCGCATAACAATTGATGTCGCATCTGACTTTTGAAAAAAATAACAAGAACAGAAAATGGTATCACTCTTCTTACAGATGTACAAAAACAAGATGTACCTATTTGATTATAGTGTTTCCATTTTTCTGATTCTGCAAACACTAGGATATTATAGCTGACAGAAAAGGCCATCTGACGAGTTATAACAGGAGTTGACTTAAACAAAGTTTTTGAAGGAATGGCAAATCAAACATGTAATACTATATGTAAAATAGGCATAGTGTTTTCCCTGTAGTCTTGGACTTTATTATTGACCTACTTTTAATAATTTTGAAAGATATAGAATTTTGTAGCCCGTGAAAAGAGCTATCCGATAAGCTATAATTGAAGCTGACTGTCTTGAATTTATATATGGAAACTAATCCAAAAGGCTATGATGTCATTACTATGTATTCGTAATAAGACCATTCCAACTCTTAAGATAAAAAGTCCTCAAATATATTTGAAACGTACCCGAAATCTAGTATTCAAGTACTCGCTAGTTGAAGCTCTTTCATCCTATATGTGATTGTGCTGGGTATAGTGAAAAAAGTCTATGGGGCCAAATCAGGGTCTTATGCACCCCTATTCTTTGTGGAACGTAAAAAAGATGATTGTTGAATTCTATTGAATAATGTAAATGACCACATCAAATGTGTTCTTAGTATTTCATTGTCATCAGTGGAAAGACTAAAGAGGGATAGACGAGTACAAGAAAGGGAGATGTTAGAAAAACAAAACAATTTGATTGAATTACAGAAGAAGTGGAAACAAGAAAAACAAGATAAAGAAGATGCAGCGATTCGAGCTACTCTTTGGCTTCGCAATTCACGTACCAGATTATCATCATCAACGTCATCATCATCATCAGTTATCGCTATATCTAATACTACTATCACGACATTTATGCCTGTTGCTAAATCATCACGAAAATGTGATTATTCTGGTCGTTTTCCTATTCTTTTGACAGAAGATGAAAAAGAAAATTTTCGATAAGCATATTTATCAGAAGAGCCTATTCAATATATATATACACGGCTAATAGTTACCACGTTCATCTGATCTTAGCTGAGCGGATCTACTCAACTATAGATAACATTTTCACTCGAATTTTGAGTGACGATCCTGATTTTCCAATCCGTTTGATGTCGTCGTTATCCTAGGAAAAATCTTTGACGTTTCAGCGCCAGATCCTTGGCAGATATGACCAGGATCTTGCAAGAATTTGCTGTTTTTTCCTCAGGAAACGACTAAATCCTGAAAGAAATGTGTAGACACGGAATTTGAGGATCCTGACAGGATTCAAAACAAGATTTGTTGGGATTCTGACAAGTTTACCATTGATTTTTAAATCAAAATCGAGCCAGAAAATCGATGATTCCTGAAAAAAGCGTGTAGTCAGGGAATTGTCAGATCCTGTCAGAATTTCAATAATTCAAAATCGAAAGAAAAAAGATTTCTGATCATATCTTTCAGAATTTGAGTAGGTCTTTTCGAAGATGTCACCGAATATCTTGACAGGATCTTTGTAGGATTTTCTTAATAGAACATAAGAGAAATGAACATATAGAGTATCGATCTCTGGGCCTTTAGTTTACATAGCGATCAGCTTACTGAGCTGAATGTGCCATGTCATTCCATATCACTTTAACGTTCAATATCTTAGTTTCTAACTCTAATGTAAACTCCTATTTGATTTTTCTGTGAATACAAATTATCTTGAAAAAAATTCTGAAAATGAAATATCATTTTGCATACTTATTGTAGTCGATGAAATTCAATATTTTTTTGAATTTCGATTCAATTGAAAAAATATATTTCAATTTTGTTCCCATGCATATTCAAAACTATAAGTAGTTCTATCAAAACATTTGCTACTGACTAAAACTATCTATTTAACAAAAAAAAATATTTAAGATGACTAAATTCAAATATACACCCTAATTTAATGATCTTTGATTTTCTTTACGTGATAAGATTAAAAAAATAACTCATTGCTATAGTTCGAATTTTAAAACAATTTTTATATAAACTTTAAAGAGATTTAGAAATTTTTTTCTAAGAATTTTAAGATCTGTTCTATTTCTTTATGAAAAGAACTAAATCAACATCAAGATAAAAATACTAGTAGATCATTCAGTCCTTAGAAATTTGTTGTGCTCCGAACAAAAACACGATAAGACCTTGAAAAATCCGTACTTTTATTGTTGTTGAAATTTTGCTCAACACTAATATTAAAATTCTTTTATTTACAGGTTTATAAATCTTGAACGGATCCTAACTTGAACCTAGCTGAAAACGTGAGGAAACCGTTTCATTCATTCTTGCTAGGTTCCTGACAGGTTTCTGAAAATTAAATTTTGAATAGTCTCTAAAGGCAAACATGGAAAGATTTTAACTGACTCCTTGTATTTTCTTATCAAGATCCTGGTCATACTTGTATTATTCTTAAAGCAATCGAAATGCTTGTTCTTGAACAGTTCTGCTCAGGATTCTGATAGCAATTTAGCAGAATTTGTTAGTTGAGGATTCTGACGAATCTTGTTTTATTCCTGCTATTATCCTTTTCTGATATAACTATAACTCTTAGCTGGATCCTCGTATCACGATCTAGAACAGATCGTGACCCAAACGTAATGAAATCTTGACGAAATCCTCTCTATGATCGTTGTCCGGCTCCTAGATAGCACTGACAGCGAATCTTAGCAGCATCCTACAAACTCAATTCAGACAAAAATCCGAGCAAAAACTTGAACACTTCCTGGAGAAATTCCTGAATCAAACTTGACAGAATTCATGAAATATATGATTCTCAAAGATCCTTCTAGGTTTTCTCAAAAAATGAACACGGCTGAGTTGACTAAACAGTAACCTGCAAAGATCTTTGCTACATCTTTATATTTTCTTATCAAGATCTTGATTAGAATTGATAATGTTTTGCAAAGTCTAGAAACGCATATTTGTGAAACGTTCTGCAGAAGATTCGGATTGAAACTTTTCAGGATTAGTCAGTTTCGTATTCTGACTGATCTTGTTATTTTCTTGCTATGAACCTCGTCTGATGTGACCATTACTCCTGACGCGATCCTGATACAAGAATTTGACCTAGATCTTGACGAGAACTTGATAAAATCTTGGCAAAATCCTCTTTCATAATCTTGAGAGGATTCTCGATAGCATCTTGAGTCAATCCTGGTAGGATCATGTATTCTCAACTTAGAAAAATATCTTAGCAGGAACTTGAAGAAATCCTGAACAGGATTCTGTTTCACCCTGAAAGATCTTGGAAACAGCAGTTCCTAGGATCAGAAGCAGGATTCTGAAAGATCTTTCCAGGATTTCTTAAGGAATGATCAGGATTGAGTCTAGGGAACTTTCTTCTACCATTGGCAGAACACTTTCTATTAACGTATAAACTAACTTAGTAAATATAAAAGTGGTAGCGCATAACAGACAAACTCTGCGCATCTCACGAACTCTAGAAATATTGAAATACGTGTCTTGTGTGATGACCTACCGGCTCATGCTCTTTTCATCACGTTCTCATATTGTTTCCTAGAGTGAGTAGACCGCTTTCAAGTGATACAATAATGAAAATACTAAGTGCTTGTAATTCCTGTTTATGACCGAAGATTACTTAGAACAATCCTAGAAGTTAAGCCAGTTTAATGATAACACTCGTCCTGAAGATTCCTTAGCCTGTTTGTTTTTTCAGATATATTCTCAAATTACCAGATGAGTCAGAAGAAATCAGCCGTCGTTACTTTCTCCATATTGTTGGCGGCAACGATGGTACACTCCGATGCTAAACGTAGACTAAAATGTCCCTTCTAGTCTAATTAGCTAAGGACATCTGCCCGGATGACAGAGGATATGCGGTTCAAATTTCAAGCAGGACCTCTCTTTTTTCATTCTATCCATTTACATATTGCCTTAAACTGGAACCCGTTATGACTCGTATTCGGTGCTTGCATACATTTCTGTCAGTTTTTATTGGATCGGAACGGATTTTCTCCAAAAAATTTCAGCATCAAATTCTCGACTAAATCCTACAGGAATGGTCAACGCAGATATAAAAGGAAAAACTCACCATAGTAACACTGCAAAAGTCTATCAACAATAATTTTCGAGCTGTTTTCATTGATACTGACTCGTATTTTTTGCTGATACTGAAGCAGCATGTAAAAAATTCTATGTAGAAAATTAATTTTTCATAAAAACTATTGTCCGTTCTAGAGGTCAAGGCACTCGGTTGTTTTTTGAATAACTTTTGATAGGAACAAGATAGAGACCTGCGGTTTTCACCATTTGATAGCCAAGACCCAAGAGCATATTTTCATAAGCAAAATTTATTCTGAGAAAAAATCTGAAGGCCGGTTTCTCAGAGGATCTTTGGAAAACTACGCTGGATTTCTGAAAACTGTCATAGAAGTCTATTGATTTTTTTTATATAGTCGAAATCAGCATTGAAAACTGCGTCGATTCGTATCTGTTTAGAATCTTTTAACGAACTTTTTGTTTTCGTCGAAAAATACATCCCTTGTTATACCAGGGCCACGTCAAAAATGAATTCAGTCAAAAAGTCACTTGGACAGTGGAAAGCAAGTTCGGAGCTTGTAAAATGCTATTAGGACACAGATGGCAAATGACTAAACAATAGAAACGGCCTTTTGACTGCATTCATTTTTGACGTAGCCCTGAGGGTAACAAGGGATGTATTTTTCGACGGAAAAAAAAGTTCGTTAAAAGATTCGAAACATACGAATCGACGCAGTTTTCAAGACTGATTTCGAATATGTAAAAAAATCAATAGACTACTAGGACAGTTTTCAGAAATCTAGCGTGGTTTTTCAAAGACCCTCTGAGAAACCGGTCTTCAGATTTTTTCTCAGAATAAATTTTGCTTATGAAAATATGTTCTTGGGTTTTGGCTATCAAACGGTGAAAACCGCAGTCTCTATCTTGTCCCTATCAAAAGTTATTCAAAAAACGACCGACTGCCTTGACTTCTGGAACGGATAGTAGTCATTATCTTGCATGCTTTCTCTTACTATTAACATCGAAACTATTCAAAGTAGCACTGTTTCAGAATGCGTCTAGCCTTGTATGGTATCATTTAGTGGCATTAGTACAAACCAAAAACTTACCCCAGGTAAAAATGCTACGATTAATTGCCCGTATTTTTCAACAACTGGAAAAATACGGTGGCAAACAGAGATATTGTCGAAAACTCATGAAAGCTGACATTTATTTAACTCTATAGGCTTCTAATGGAAGAGTCCTGATGTACACTCACAGAGTATAGCTTTCAGAGCTTAACAAAAATGTTTGCTTAGTTTGTCCCTATGGTTTGACACTATGAAAACTTAAATAAATATCGGGCAAAAGGCTAGGGAATCATTTATGCCGGGGCACCATTGTTTTCTAGCACTATGAATATACTGTAGAACTACAGGAAAATTAAACTGCTTTATACTAATGATCGTTCAGTGTGACTGAAGAATATATAGCAAAATTTCAGAGCTATAGGTATTTCAAAGAAAACGTTCTTGCTCCAGATCTGCGTGCTCATTTTCTTTTTCTGAAGAATTTCTTATAATTTTTATCTTCATCATAAGCTTTTGGATAATACAAGCACCAAACGACTCTATTATCCTACTTCGTCATTATGACTTGAAAATTTTCTGGCTAATCTTAACCATATAGGCATTTTAGAGAGAACACGGTTTTTTCAAGACCTTCCGGATTGAGTCTTGTCGACATCAGAAAAACAGCAACTATGTAATTAAATTTATTCGCTCTCAAGACATTATTCTAAGCATATTTATCGCCAAAAATCCAGTTGAGCAGAATCCCTTCCACAAATATTTTCTGAAGCACTTTTTTTCTATACAGCATCGTATCTAGTTTTCAGCGAGGTCAAATATTTTCAAATGGTAGAAGAATACAAGACTTTATTGTAACTAATATCTTCTATTAATTTTTCACCGAAATTC